ATTGTTTTGTATGTTATTTATAATTGCTATTATATCCGCATCGCTTATTACTTGTACTTGAAAAATAAAACAACGAATCGCTGTCATTCCCATGAAACGAAGTAAGAACTACAAGACTGGTATGATAATCCTGAATGAACATTCGTTTTTGATTATTAATAAAAACAGGATGAAATCATATAAATGAAAAATACTGAAAATTATAGCAAACCACATAGTACATGTGATGTTGAGCATAGTTCAGTTGTCTAGAGGTTAAGTATTCGTGTGCAACACTGAAAACCCTAGTTTCGAATCTTATGAGTTGGTATTGTGGATGCGTACTACTAAGCAGGAGTCCCGAACTAGGATGAAACTACCGCCCAGTGCTTCCAACCATTCTATGATGATCTAGCTTCAATTGACTCATGAAATCCAACTATTAAATGAACAATACTCAGAATTATAACAAACCACATAGTACATATTCTATTGAGGTTAGTTCATATTAATTTAATCTAAGAATATTACATTCAAATCAATCAATGTTATACTGAATAAAATAACATAATGAAAAACAACAACAACTACTCCTTTGAATAATCATCATACTGGATTAAATAAACAAGAATCATAATGATCTAAGTAGATTAGAATATTGTGTATTGAATAAGTTGAACACTTTTAATATGATTAGTAGTAGTATATGGTTGAGGAGATTGATTGACATCATGAATCGATTGATATTAGACTACCAATGTAAAACCTAGCAGCACTAGATGGTCATTTCTTCCTATTGTAGGACTGCTGCCCAGTAGTGCGTATCCACAATCCCAACTCACAAGATTCTTGCACACGAATATTTAACCTCTAGACAACTGATCTATGCTCAACATCACATGTACTATGTGGTTTGCTATAATTTTCAGTATTTTTCATTTATATGATTTCATCCTGTTTTTATTAATAATCAAAAACGAATGTTCATTCAGGATTATCATACCAGTTTTGTAGTTCTTACTTCATTTCATGGGAATTGCAGTGATTCGTTGTTTTATTTTTCAAGTACAAGTAATAAGCGATGCGGATATAATAACAATTATAAATAACATACAAAACAATTATATTCGCAAAAATCTTGATCTTAAACTGTAAATCCCTATACTCTAATTACTCGACCGTTGTTGCTACCATGACGTGATGGTCGGTCTTGCATGTCGTGATGAGCCAATCGAGCTATACCGGCTGGAACAATCGTTGCTCAAGTCATCCAACATTGTTAATGTCTCACCTCAACCAATTCACGAAATTGCCCAACAATCTACCATTGTACTGAGGTACATACCTCACTCTACCCGACAAGGATTAGCTCCATTAGTCACAATAGAACGAAACAGGCGTCTAATACTTCCAAGTTTTCAATGGTGAACTAACATTAGTCGGTTCATAATCTCAATAAAAAAGACTATTATCAATGATTTCAAAATTTGGCGCAAAAAATTAACTATACAATAATTTTGATAATAATCATACAACTTTCTTCTTATAATTCATTAGAAGAGAAAAAGCATACACAATAATACTGATGGTTTACAGATAATTATTGTAAAAAAAAGCTTTGATCAAAATAATTGATGCACCTGACGCGACACTGACAGGTCCTGTGTTCGAATCCCGCGAGGCGGGGTTGTGGATGCACACTGCTGAGGAGTTTCACAACAGGATGAAACAGCCGTCCAGTGCTTTCTAGTTTTCCATGGTGGTCTAGCTTCAATTGACTGATGATCTCAACTGTTGAAATAACTTAAACTTTGATAAGCGTTGAATTAACTAGTTTTCAAATTAATAAATCAGATATTTAATTGGTCAAAAAAATGAATGAATTTGAACTTCTTTACGGGTCGATTTCAACTGAGGAACGATTAAAGAGCTAAGAAGTATTATACAGTTGTTTAAAAACTTTTCTTTTTAATAATTGAATTCATCAATCAATTAAAACTAGACCAACATGGAAAACGTGGAAGCACTGGACAGTTATTTCATTCTAGTATAGTACTCTTCAGCAGTGCACATTCACGATCCTATTTGTGGCATCCAAACGTAGGACCTATCGGTTTTGAGCGCGAATGCTTAAATCTCTACACTATTGAGCCAGTATCCAACGTTTTGTTTTGTAATAAGGCACTCTCACTTCTTAGATTTTATGCCATGAATGCTTTACATTTAGTTTCTTGACTCAGAATCCAATCTATTTACAATTGTTAACTTCAATCCAATTTACGAAACAAACCACAGTATTTGATATACTTATATGTTACTTATTCCCCATTGGAATTAAATAATTTCCTGTTTTAAAAGAGAGTTCAATTACAATCAGAAAACATAAATTATCATTTCATATATACATAAATGTATATTCCTTAGAAAACAAGTACAAATGATGCTAATCTTTTAAAGTTTCCCCTCGTGGATTCGAACCCTATCCCCGTTGCAAATTTGTTGTGTTATTTATCGCATAATGTATTCGCCAATCGAGATACGGCTTATTCACTCTTGTACTGTGTTATACCAATGATATTCGACCAGTATGATCAGCCTAGCAGTCATTATTGGTCCTTTACTCACCTAACCCGTTCAGTTGAGTCCAGAACACCAATAACAGCTTCAACTATGCAAATCATTTATTTCAAACATACTTGGTTTATATACAAGACAAATAGAGCACATTACACCATAAAATAGGAAATAACATCTACAAAAGATCAAGCCGAAAAGTGGCTGTGAACATGGGAGGCAGTAGTCAATAAACTGAACATAACTTAAGAACAATAAATCGTATCATAATAGTCTATAGATCAAAACGAAGCTTATAATAAGAGGAATATATACTGAATAGTTATACCATAAGAATGTATAGCTAATATTAGTCCATTAATAAGTCTCATTGAATAGAAATTGGAAAAGTCAGTCAGTCAGCTACAACGTAGGACCAGGCACATATGTGCCTCGGTCCGGGTTGCCATACCGCATCAGCACAACAAGATGAACACCGGATTCATAGCAGTGGTTAGGTCAAAGGTAGTAATATATAAGAGAAAGATTGCATATAGAGAAAGAATTGGTTCGTAGAAAGAAAGATATGAAGCGATTTTAATCTTTTAGTTTAAGGGAAGACAGGGAGTGTATACACCGACGCCATTGTGATCGATTCTGAGCCATGTCATTAAGAGTCTCCAACCATTGGTTACGAAAGTCACGCGGACCCCAACCAGGTAGTCTGCATCTACCAACATGGCTCAGACTAGAAGTTGGTGACTTCAAGCACTGATGCCACGTTTTGGTTTGGCCGCCCCTAACTTTCTTCCAATCATTTCCAATACCGGATAGCATTGCACGTCGTGGTAATCGGTGTTCGGGCATACGTACCACGTGGCCCAACCATCTCAGTCGACGAAGATTCACAACCTCATCGACTGATTTACCATCCTTCCCTAATACCCTGCGTCTCACCTCACTATTACTTACCCGGTGATCCCAGCAGACGCCAGCAATATTTCTAAGGCATCTGTGGTCAAATACTAATAACTTACGAGTGTCTTCTACTCTTAAGGGCCATGTTTCGCTGCCGTAAATTTAAACAGAACGGACTGCCGCGCAGTATACTCGTCCTTTTATTGGCAAAAGCCAAGCGAGCTTTTCGAATCCATGCTGAGATTTCGTCAGACACCAACCCATTAGTGCTGATCAGACTTCCAAGATAAATGAAGTCGTCAACGCGTTCGACTACTTCACTCCCTATCCTTAGTTCAGGTGTTAACGCAGACCAGTCCTGAAGCAACAACTTGCATTTAGAGGGAGAGAAGCGCATTCCAAACATCCTGGCATTGTTGCTCAGTGCTACCAGAAGACTCGGCATTTTATCAGCGTCTTTACCAAACAGGACTATGTCATCTGCGTATTCTAAGTCGATAAGTGGACCTCCTGGTAGGAGACCAATACTCGAGAACTCAGTCGACGAGAAGGTTATTTACATCAGTAGATCTATGATGAAGTTAAACAAAAATGGGGAAAGTGGACAGCCTTGGCGGACACCACTTGAGGTTGCAAAAGTAGATGGGAAAAACAAACTAAACATATCTAGAAAACAATTGAATGATATTATGTAAACAGATCAGTGCAACAATGTTGTATCTCATGTGTACAATCATAATTATTGATAATCGAAAACTTCTTTAGTCATATGGTAGATATTGAAAAACAAAAAAGGAATTCCACTATTAACTATTAAGAACGGTCTTGTTAACAACTTGAAGTATCATCATCATCCTTGTCAACAACGTGCTGTGGGCAATTTAGCCCCCGAATGCTCTGGTAGGGCCAAGAGTGGGGAGAGTCATCTCTCTCTCTCTAAAAGTGCTCTCATACGACCACGTGCATACAGCCCATGTCAGCGAAGTCCTACTGACTGACTTCTCACACCATTACTGTTGTTTATGAAAGTAAGAGGACGGAAACCGAATTTCCGGCGCTTTAACCAAGTTGGTGGACATGGAGTACACCTAGGGGAGTTGGAAAATCCTCACTCCAAACCAATCATACACATGGGCTCCAGTATCCTGCAGGAACAAATGGCGTATGAACCAATCGTTGATCACCGGCTGCCATGGGACTGCATCTCCTTACGATGCTCCACTGCCTTATGAATCAGACCTTTAGGTCGAAGGCTCTGGATGTGGCCCTCTAAGAAAACCATCTGCTTCGGTTTGAGCACCCGGACAGTGTCCCAGCCTTCACACGAATCGAATGACAAAGTTTGGCGCATATCTATTTGATGCCTCCTTATACATGATTAATTGATCATTTAATTAGGTATTATAAACAATGTAGTATCTTACTTACACCTATTAGCCTTCATGGAGGAGCAGTGTAGAATTGGATTATATATAAATGAATTCGTTCATATTTATCTAATAATTGCATGAAATGTATAAACAGTTTAAAACTAAGACTGAGATACGTCTATATATATATATATATATATATAGATAGATATATCAACCGATACTGAGTTATATTTATCTTTCTATTTATATAAAGGTTATCAAGACACAAATACACACAGATTCTATTGAATTAGATAGTTTAATGCATAGTAATTAAATTGATGAAAATCTACATACATACAAAGAGACAGAGACAGAAGTACAAAGAATAATCAAATTCAATGAAACTATTCAATTGGAAATGAAATAACACAAAGACAAAGACAGTAATATCACATGTATAATCAAAGAAGAGTTTTTGTGTGTGTGTGTGTGTGTGTGTGGATATGATATTAATTTAATAATTGAATTCATGAATCCATTGAAACTAGATCCCTATGGTAAACTTGGAAGTATTGGATGCGTACTACTTCTGAAGAGTCCTATACTAAGACGAAATGAATGTCCAATACTTTCAGATTTTCCATAGTGATCTAGTTTCTATTGACTTATGAATTCAATTAATAAATCTTACATGAATTGTTGTTATTCTTCTCTATTACTCATTGAATAGAATTAACTATATATCCAAATCCCATGAACATGTTCAACACAGAAGTTCATTGTAGAGATCATGATTAAATACACGTACACATATACACATACTATTTTCAATGTTATACATTCTGTCTATACAATTAGTAACATATAAGTAGTACATAAGTAGTACATATACATACATTAGAATAGTCAAATTAATACAACATTTTATAAGGTTAAGAAGAAGAAAAAAGTCATTGAGAATTAGAATTCAAAACGTATTGTAGGACCTTGAATACAATCATCATCATCATCATCATCATCATTGTTATCATGAGAATGATCATTATTAGGCTTGATATGATCAGATTCATAAGCGACCATCAAATCAGTATGACCATCCATCGGTGAATAATGCAAAAGATTGATAAAACTACAATTGATCAAAATCAATGAAAAAAAAGTTATGGAAAGAGCATGAAAGATGATGAAAATAGAAAAGATAGTAAGTGTGAATATACATGGAAATCTTGACAATTATATAGTGTGTTTTTTATAGAACAGTCGTCTTGTGGCTATCAGTAGAATCTAGGATATGAGTTTCGTTTTGTTCAAAGGCTAATCACAGCTGGATATACATACACCTTAGGTTTGAAGTTGGGATTCAGTCTTTATTGGGTATATGTGCTTTGAAATGTATAGATCCGGAATATAGGTATCAACTCAATGATCTGTCTAAAAAGATATAACCCTCTTAATGCAAAAAAGTAGTTTCATGGGATTGTGATCCCTGAAAACGTTGTAGATGAGTGCTTGTGAGAAGTTTTAATAGAATAGGAAAAACTAGTTGTCCTATAGGTTCTATTCATTACAGATTGATTTGAGCTGAAGTATCATTTAGAAATAGGACATGGTGGGAAGTTGTTTCGTCCTAGTTTGAAACTAGTCGCTAGTACACACCCAATAGCTTGCCAGTAATCGAACTCAGAACCTTCAGATCTCGTCATGAATCCTTGATCATTAAAACAACTGTGTCAAGTTGTTTTTCAATAATTCTCTAACCAGTATCATCAATTCATGATAAGAAATTCTTCAAATTAAAGTAATCCTCAAATAAATATTTTAATCAAAGTACAAAGGAAACTTAGGTACTCATCACAGTTATAAGTAAAAGTATATCGTGAACAAAAGTTGCTTAGTTGCATGAAACCATTAGAAAGCGCCTGAACATATTTGATGTGAACGATGAGGAGTTGTCCTAGAAGTAGATATCGTGTTGATCGGCATTCATCAACAAGGAGGATATGTAGCCTTGAAGGAACTGAAATCACAAATGGAATTCGAATACTCATCTCTATGTACTATAGTTAGAGAGGTTGTCACTTATGTATTTGCAATGCCGTTTCCATTTTATTGAACACTTGTATTCTACTGTGGTTAACGATCACTTTTACCATTGACCGGGTGGATAAATCGAGACAATTTAAGCCCTTGACGATAAGTGGCTCAGTTCACCTGAAACTGAACTCACCGGTTGTAAGGATGAAATAATTTATCCTTTCAGTGTATTGAATTCTGTCAGTTAAATAATCAATTATTCAGTTACTTGAACGGAAGTGTTAAGTTAATATACTTAACCTTAAACAAATGAAATAGTGATCTGATGATCTGAATAATCTACATACCAATAATCAGTGCTCTTATCACTAAACGTTTACAATCGTATATTACGATTAACCTGAGTGTCCTAACTTAGCATTATACACCCGAAGGATACAAATTATGGACTGATACCACGTCGCAATCTACCCCTAATCTAGTCCCCCTCAATTACATTCCTGTGTCAACTACTATTTTACACCAAGGCAGTCAGTAGTTTAATACATGTCAGACACATTCTTCTCAAGATATTAGTTATATGTATATATTATGTAAACCTCAGTTGTAAGGTTACTTTCAAGTGGTTCCAAATACTGAACACGCAAGCTTCGTGTTGTAAAGAAACAATTTGAATCCAGTCACCACCAATTTTATTTTCAAAAGTCAATTATTCATTCACAACCTATAGTGATCATGTTTAATATTCAATACTTAATAAGTGTGACTTATCAAGTACTCTTGTCAATTAGGAAATAATAATTTACATGAGACGTGTTACGTATGACTGAACACCGACTACCACGACGCACAATGCTCACTAGTGTTGGAGACGGCTGGAAGAAAGTTAGGGGCATCAGTGCTTGAAGTCATTAACTTCTAGTCTGAACCATGTTGGTGGATGCAGACTACTTGGTTTGGATCCGCGTGACTATCTTAACCAATGGTTGGAAACTCTCTGTGACATGACTCAGAATCGATCACAATGGCGTAAGTGTATACATTCTCTATCCTCCCTTAAACTACGAGACTAAAATTGCTTTACATCTTTCTTTCTATGAACTAATTATTTCTTCCTGTACTATATTCTTATATGCAATCTTTCTTTTATATATTACCACTATTGAATTAACTACTTTAATGAATCCGGTGTCCATCTTGTTGTGTTAATGAGGTATGGCAACTTGGACCGATGTATATATTATTTATTTATTTTAACACATAGACATTGGTACAAGGAAGCACCAAATACATATGCACCACACAAATCTCATTCGATATGTGTGAAGGCTGTGATACTGCCCGGGTGGCCAAATCGAACCAGGTGGTTTTCCTGGGGGGACACACCCTGAGCCTTCGACCTGAAGGTCTGATCCACAAGGCAGTGGAGCATCGTAAGGAGATGCAGTCCCATGGAAGCCGGTGACCAACGATTGGTTCATACGCCATTTGTTCCTGCAGAATACTGGAGCCCATGTGCACCATTGGTTTGTGACCCGGTTAAAGCGCTGGACATTCGCTTTTCGTCCTCTCATTTTTGTAAACAACAGTAATGCCATGAGAAGGCAGTGAGTAGGACTTCCCTGTCAGAGGCTATATACTTGTGGCCATGTGAGAGTGTTTGGAGAGAGAGAGCGGACTCTCCCCACTCTCGGCCGTACCAGGGTATTTGGGGGCGATGTATATATATGTGCCCGATCCTATGTTTTAGCTAACTGACTGACTGTAAATTTAAAAGTAAACAGGGCAAAAAAAATCCAAAGAATTACTTCATTTTTAACTTACATTTCATTTAAACGTGATTTATGCATTGGAAAATGACGCATATACACCATTCGATTGCCTTGAGTAATTAAACTCACCACAAGATTCCATTCATTCTTTTAAGGATTTCCCGAATTCATAGGAATAATGAGAGAAAAAAAGAAGAAAAAAAAGAGAAAAATAAATGAAAATAAAAGTACAAAAGAAGAGAAGAGAAGAGAAAAGAGAAAAATAGAGAAAACACCATTTATAGATTTTCTCTTTAGAAAATATTGATCTCTATGTATAATAATTTTTTTAAAAAAAAACCCAACTGACATAATAATGAATTATGAAAAGAGATTAAAAATATGATGCCAATAGTAGACAAAAATTAAAGGGATGAAAACAAGTGAGTGAGTGAGTGAGTGGGTGGATGAGAGCAATTGTGTGTGTGTGTATGTATGTGGGTGTGTATGTATGAGGTAACAAAACAATGACCAAATAAAACTTTTCAGTATTTTCATATAAGTGAACAATCATTTAACATAAACGCGATACATATTAGTTAAGTGGTTAGAATTAGTTGGTAGGAAACTTTGATTAATCTACATCTTTGAATAGTTGATGGCTTGTCAACAAGGAACACCTAATAGTCCTTTAGAGGAAACTGATACTATTTGTGAAATTGAAACTTGTATTCTCATCACAACTTCTCTAGTTTAAGACATCATCACTGAAATATTGATACCATAACTAATATTCTATAGAATTGAGATCAGGATTCTCCGATACAACACAGAATGCACCAATCCAATCACAATTGACCGAGAAGATTTGGAAGATGTAAAAACCTTTACGTATTTGGGCAGCATCATTGATGAACACGGTGGATCTGATGCAGATGTGAAGGCGCGGATCGGCAAAGCAAGAGCAGTATATTTACAACTGAGGAACATCTGGAACTCAAAGCAACTGTCAACCAACACCAAGGTCAGGATTTTCAATACAAATGTCAAGACAGTTCTACTGTATGGGGCAGAAACCTGGAGAACTACAAAAGCCATCATCCAGAAGATACAAGTGTTTATTAACAATTGTCTACGCAAAATACTTCAGATGCATTGGCCGGACACTATTAGCAACAACGTACTGTGGGAGAGAACAAACCAGATCCCAGTGGAGGAAGAAATCAGGAAGAAGCGCTGGAAGTGGATAGGACACATATTGAGGAAGGCACCCAACTGTGTCACAAGACAAGCCCTCACATGGAATCCTGAAGGTCAAAGGAAAAGAGGAAGACCAAAGAACACATTACGCCGGGAAATGGAGATAGACATGAGAAAAAATGAACAAGAATTGGATGGAACTAGAAAAGAAGGCCCAGGATAGAGTGGGTTGGAGAATGCTGGTCAGCGGCCTATGCTCCATTGGGAGTAACAGGCGTAAGTAAGTAAGTAAGTAAGTAATAGAATTGAGATATTTACAGTTGACTGATCAATAAGAAGTGACCAATATATCATAACCATATTCACGTTTAACTAATATTGAATTCGCATAGATAATAATCATAATAATAAAATAGAAAAAAAAAGAGATCTAGTCTAGTTATCATCATTAATCTTTCTTTATTGATGAAACAATTATCCAATACTTTATTGATTTTACTGAACGATTTATTAATTCATGCCATTTCTCACTATGAACACTTACCATCAATGTTTATTCAAATGTTAAAGCTCAATATAAGTTTACCAGTGACTAATTTCAAGGGATGATTCTTAAGAAATTCAGTGAAGTTCAACAACATTAGATGTGGCCTACTTGAATATCTGGGCTACCTGTTCTTCCGATCTAGATATTTCATCAAGTTATCTGTTTTGTTGTTTGTTTTAGCACATCGCTATGTCTATTGTGCGCACAATATATTCAAGCGCGTTTATGGAAAGTTTACAACCTTTCGCTATATGGGATACAAAAAGATACAATCAGCGACATCATGATGGCTGGCAATATGCATTGAAACGAATGAACATTAATCAAATGTGGATTACCGAACTTCTAACATCTAACTGGTGATCATTTGAAAAGGAAACTTGTTGAAATACTTTATGCTGAGAATTCTATGTTGTACCAAAAATATAATGTTGAATAAAGCTAATGATAATAATAATAGCGTTGGATGATGCTCGTCCGATATTGTCAATAGGTTGGAATCAGAATTGTAAAAGATTAGATGGTGACGTGTAGAACTGAAGGTCCTAGGTTTGATCTCTGTTAGAATTGTAAATGAGCATTATGAAGAAGTCTTGTATTATTTAGCTAGAATCATTTTGTAATATAAACTTCAAAGTGATTAGAATACAATGTCATCAATAATAACAGATAAACACAAACATACACACATATACAGAGAATACTCAGTGAATGAAATCGATCAGAAAGAAAAAGAAGAATAAAAATATACTTCAATAGTTGAAATCATGAGTCACCATGGAAAACCTGGAAGTACTGGACAGCAGTTTTGTACTATTGTAAGACTTCTCAGAAATGTGAATTCACGATCCTGCCTCGTGAGATTCAAACTCAGGATTTATCGGTGTCGCGCGCGAACGCTTATTCTCTAGACCACTGAGCTGGCATTCAACGGTGTTAATGTCTAACTTCAACTAATCCACGATATTGGGCAACACATCCACTATTGTCTTCAGTGAGTTTCTACCTCATAAGAGACCCGGTTGAACTCCACTGCTCACTGCTTTTCAGTAGAACACCGGGATATACCTCATGAAGCCAGTCAATAATGAGCATATGTTGATTAATATCAGAAGGGGTTTTTGTAGACTATTATAGCACTGCTGAGGAGTGCCACAATGAAACGGCTATGGTGATCTAACATCAACTGACTCATGATCTCAACTACTGAAATAACTATAATATCCACAAAAACCCCTTTTGATACAAACATATATTGGCTGAAAAACTGTAAAAAAAAAGAATACAAATATATATGTTATGTAATAAGGATTGAATGTAAAAGGGAAAAAACAAGACAGACCATATTATCTTCATAATTCTTTTCTATTGAACAATAATCACATTGGTTACAGACAATTATATAACCATGTATATATCGATTTTTCCCCATTTAAAAGATCACATTCAAACAAACAACAACAACAACAACAATACAAAAACAGATTACAACATATAGGTCATTTCAGGAAACAAACTACCATATATATATATTCATTGAACAATTGATAGATCTATTGTTGCCAATTTTAAAAGAGGTTACATTTTAAACTTTCTCCCTCCCTTCCTCCCTTTCTCTCTCTCGCTCTCCTATTGTCCCTCTTTAAAGTAAATATTTCTCCCTTTATTTTAGATACCGAATTTTATGAGTTATAATAGAATTGAGAGTTCTTCAATGATATGTTTGTATTAGAAAGCCAAATAATATAGTGTTCAATAGTTGTCAATGGTAACCATGACTAAACATTAATGTCGACAACAACAACAACAACAAAAGTGATATCACATGTATTAAGAGTTATTTGTTTAAAATTTCAATTGTGTATGTATCTATATATCTATGTAAGAATTCAGATAAATCTTTCATTGAATAATACCAATATCAATACAGTAATATAGATAAGTTAACAATAATGTAAATGAATTATGAAAGGATAATACAAAAGCAGGTGGCTATCAGGATTCAGTAGCTAAGTGGATAATGTGATGGCATTTGGAGCGAGCGGTACTGGGTTTGAGTCCCGGAGTGGACATCAACTATGTGAAGCGGGTACATCAAGCTGAAGAGTACTAAATAAGACGTCCTAGATTCTTTTGCTAGCCACTATTCACCTTTGCTTACAAAAGTATTTGTTGTAAATACTAAGTGTTAATTTTTGTTGTTGTTGTTGTTGGATGGAATCATAATTAGAAATGATGATCTTTACTAAAAACAAGATTGTTTAATTCAATCACTTAGTTATATACAACATAGAGTCTCAAATATATATGCATTTCAGATTAGATTACCACAATTCTTACATCAATTATATGATTTAGGACGCCAGTTGATATGATGTGCTAAATTTACCAAATAGAATTTCGTATCAGAATGGGTTTTGTGGAGAGTTTTAGAAATTTCACAGGTTGAAATCATGAGTCAGTTGAAGCTAGACCACCATTGAAAACCTGGAAGCACTGGTGGTCTAGCTTCAACTGACTCATGATTTCAACCTGTGAAATTTCTAAAACTCTCCACAAAACCCATTCTGATAATAATCAACTGCTCATTAGTGACTGACTTCAAGAAAAACTCCTGGAGTTCTAGTGAGAAGCCGTTACCAGTGGAGTTCAACCGGCCTGTTGTGAGATAACAACTCACTGAAGACAATGGTGTACGGTGGCGCAACTTCGTGGATTGGTTGAAGTTAGACATTAACACCGTTGGATGCCGGCTCAGTGGTCTAGTGGCTCAGTGGTCTAGTGGCTAAGTGCTCGCGCGCGAAGCCAGTAAGTCCTGGGTTCGAGCCCCGCGTGGTTCGGGGTCGTGGATGCGCACTGCTGAGGAGTCCCACACCAGGACGAAACGGCCATCCAGTGCTTCCAGGTTTTCAATGGTGGTCTAGCTTCAACTGACTCATGATTTCAACCTGAGAATTTCGTATATTATTCAGTCTACAAACTAGACTTGAACAATTATACACTAACCGGCATGGTTAACTTTCAGCCAACGCAAGCTATATTTCTATGGGCCTATTATTTGTAAACTTTGTCCCAATCTTCTGCCTTGAATCTAAAGACAAGTCACAAGTCAAGTTCTACTATATTGATTCAAAACACAAATGGGTATGTATGCCTCCAAGTGCTCTAGTATGACCGAGGATAGAGAGAGTCAGATCTCCCTCTCGAAATACTCTCATATACCCACGCGTATACAGCCAATGTCAGGGAGGTCCTACTCACTGCCTTCTGACGGCAAGGTGAATATCCGGCGCTTTAACCGGGTTTGTGGATATAGAAGATATGAGTTGGAAAACCCTGATTTCAAACCAATGGTGCACATAGGCTCCAGTATCCTGAGGGAAAAAATCGCGTATGAACCAATTATTGGTCACCGACTACC